TGGGCTTTCAACATGAAGCCAGAAAATCGGGACTTTTTTAAAACGCCCCGGGACACGGGACAAATTGTTATAAAGCATGACTGTCCCACTGAAATCCCGTCTGGTCACCTTAGCCAAACCAGTAGTGGAATTCAGGCCTGGGTTGCAGAAGCGACTCAGGCCTGCCACGCCCCCAAACCGGTTCCTTCACTGCTGCTGGGTGCCACCATTTTGGGGTTTTTTTAGTTACTGCGCATGCACAGTTCACTGTAAATTGTTCTGTGCATGTACGAAGAACAATTTACATTGAACAATGTGCCCGCAGCATGTGTCTGGCATGCGCTCGGGTTGTGAACTGGTAGTAAGACTGGCAGCAACCCACCCCTCACACACATATACATACATACAAGTGTGAAGTGATTATCATGGACTATATTTGTATTTTCAGATATCCACAATCCATAAGAAAATACAGACATAGCCAATGATTCATACTAGTAACTTACTAGAAGACAGAAATTTCATGTAAGTTTCCTACAGTGTTAATGGTAATTATATTTCACTGTAAAAAGCTGTCCTGGATTCCAGGAGGTTAGCCCTCTTTAAGTGATTGTCTGGAGGTCAGGAGAACTGTACTTGCCTTTCCTTCAAGGTGAAGAGGTCTCTCAGAATCTTTCCAGAGCCAGCTTGCATAGAAAGCTTTCTTGTGTTCCTGTGAAGGCAAGTTCAGTTTCCCTTTGGACCTCTGTCAAAATGCATGGAGGTCAGGAAATCAAGGTGAGACTTGCCTATGAACTCTATTCTCCGCTTACCTTAAGCCATCCATACATTAACCTAAAGGCACAAAGAAGCATTTACTCTCTTGCAAAGCAGTTTGAAATTGCTATTTGGCGGGTGGGGGGGGGGCGCTGGGGGGAAGATTTCTAAGGAATGGAATTGCCTCTTGAATTATTTTTGTGCTTTATTATCTTTACTCTTTATTCATTTAGAAGACATCTGTAGCTACCCACCTTATGCACCATGACCCTGAGTGTCTTAAAAGCCATTGTAAAAACAGTAAAAAACATAAAATCACATTTATACCATAATATATTGTTTATCTTCAATGTGTTCAGTAGTTGAATATGCCATGCATAAAAATGATAACGTATATGGTAGTTTTTAACAATATTTTTCTCTGGGTTCTTTTTTTATAGAATGAAGAGCCAGTTTTTTCTAAAGATGGTAATACATTTTTTATGACAGTTCCAGTTAAACAAGGCGGTCGTGGAGAATTCCACCATATTGCTATGTTTAATGTTCAGGTGAGCTTCTTTTATTTAAGTTGTATTCCAGCCACAGAAACTAATTGGACAGCTCTGAACAAATTACTGTCTCAGCTCAACCTACTTCACAGGGTTGGTGTTGCAGGGAATAACAGGGTTTTTTTAAAAAAAATGTGCTTAGATATAAGTGCATACAAAATAAAAATGCAATAGACAACACATGAGTAAGTATTCCTTTTTTGCATTGGGTGATCAGAAGTCCTTGAATGTTTAGCTTTCCTATAGAATATTATACTTGTCTAAAGGGAAATGTTTGGTTCAATGAGTGACATTACTAAAATTATTGCACAAAAAACCTCTCGCTCATTTGACTGATATTAAATGTCAGACACCAAGAAAGTTAGCATCTTACTATAATCTAAAACGCTAAGTTACAGGAGTTTTTAAAACTGACCACTGCTATTTTTAAAGGAATGTTATTCAAAAAAAAAAAAAACCTCTCCCAATTGTTTTTGTGGAATTCCTTGAATGAATCATTAGCTGTGTGACAAACCAGTGTGTTATAGTGCTCCAGATGAAGTAATAAAGTTGTTCTTGGTTTATAAATCTTC